CATCAGTGTTTCTCCCCCCCTTCCACTCTCTCTGAAAAGCAATGGAAATAATATCCTCGGGTGAAGATTAACAAAACAAAAAAATTCTTATACAATAAATAAAAAATAAATAATAAAGCCCATCAGCTAAGCACTGAGCTCCACCTAGGACAAGTGCTATGGATGCTACAGAAGATACAGGAGCTCAGGGTCGGATGCGCCAGAGGAGCCCGGGGGGCGTGTCTCAGGGCGTCTTCAGGCATGAACCCCCATTCTGAACTCAGAGTGGGGGCCCTGGGAGGGCCAGACCACAAAGAGATGACCGTGTCGGCGAAAGGAAGAAATTAAATAAATGGGTCAGCGCGTCCAAAGCGCTGTCCTGGGCATGGAGGGAACAAATCTGGTTCCGCAGGAGGACAGCCTCAGCCATCTCCCGGGCGGGTGGTCACCCGAGAGTTTTACGGGAAGACCACCTGCCAACAGAAGTGAGTGGGCAGGAGAACTGCCTCCCAGCCGCCCACAGAGGAGGCAAGTTAGTCAGCTGGCAGGCGGCACGGAGCCCGGCCAAGCTGGTCGCTCCCTGGGCCCAGACAGGCAGCAAATGTGGGCGCTGAACCGTAGGCTCTGGGGTTTTAAAGGTAGAAGAAAAAAAATCCAGATGAAATTAAGGAAAATGACAAAGAACAGGAAAGCTCCTGGATACCTAGAGACAAGAAGTGGTCTGGGTTCCGGCTCATGAAGCAGATTCAGTTACCGGGCATGGCCCAGCGTTCGCTCTAACTAAACATCCAAGCCCTAAACCTCCGTGTTGTGTGCGTGCGGGAGAGCATGCGGACACCTACCCTGTTTCCTGAGGAATTCTTTTCTCTGGAACTCGGCCTCGTCCAGGACGGCCTTGAACGCTAAGTCCAACATGCAAGGGGGAGAGAGACGTGAGACACGTGTGCTCCTCTCTGCGGCAGCACCCGAGAGAAGTTCCTCCTACGGGCGTAACCCCGTCTCGCCTACCGTCTCCGATGAGCACCAGGGAGGACTGGTTTTTGGCTTTCCCGTCGTGAATCTGCACCGTGTAGGTCCCCTCGTTCTCGACAGTGAACTGATCCATCACCATCTCGATGATGCCGGTGGACTTGTCACACTTAATTTTGTGCGTCTGGAACCATAAAGGAAACAGATTCCACAGTGAACCTCCTTCCTCCAGGTTTCTTTCTGTCGTGGGCCCGTTCCTCCAATTCTACGTCTTAACGGATTGGGACACACGAAACCCAACAGGTCACGTTTTAATCCCAACAGGCTTGGATTTAAGACTCCTGGTCTCTTATCTAACCCAGACCCGATCTCTGACCACGGCAGGAGGCCAGGGTCACCCACCTCTCCTTCATCTTCTCAACCTTCCACCCCCCGATTTCTACACGTCAAACGGGGGCAGAAACACAGTCAGTGGTGACTGTGAGTGACCAGCAAAGCAAAGCCGGCCCTCTGCCGGGCCAGGGCACCGCACAGATACACACACGCACTCACACACACACACGCATATACACACACTCACACATGCCACACGCTCACAANGCACTCACACACACACACGCATATACACACACTCACACATGCCACACGCTCACAAACACTCATATACATACACACACACACATGCATATATACACACACATATACACACACATGCCACACACAAACACTCATATACACACACTCACACACATGCATATATACACACACACATGCCACACACTCACAAACACTCACATACACACACACACATGCATATATACACACACTTACACATATACACAAACACTCATACGCACGCACACACACATGCAAAAATGCACACACAAACATGCACGCATGTGCACACATGCACACACCCACACATTCGCACACACATACACACCCCCACACACACGGACGCACTCACCTCGCTGTCAGAGACTTCTCGGTCATTGATAACAAATCGGAAGCTGGCATCAGGTGACAACTGCTCTGCCTGCAGCCAGAAGCGGACTTGGCCCCGATCGAAAATCTCATAGGCCAGTTCCGACTTCAGCGGGATGGCTGCAGGGAGAAAGGAGACCGCGGTCGGTAACGTGCGAACCCGCGAGAAAGGAGGCTGCTCCTTGCGGGGAACATCCCTGCTGCTTATTAAACTCCCCAAGGACGTGAGGCCCAGAAGTAGTGACGTCATTACGACGCCCCAAAGCAAGAAAGGCAGCCCTGGGCGGCCTGTGGTGCCTGGAGCCCGCGCTGAGGGCGCTCCGGGTGCTGGCAGGTGGCCTCCAGCCTTCTCGGTGGGCCCGCGACGCAGGGGGCGCCTTCTCTCCGTGTTCAGGGCGATTCAGCAACAGAGGCTCCCCTCGGACCAGCAGCCACAATGAACCCCAAATTCAAAGCACCCTCTACCCAATGAAAATTTCTACAAGTTTCAGTCACAGTTGGTATTGGTTTTAAGTGAACGGGTGACAAGCCTGTGGGCTGGAGCAGGACATGGGGCCGCCCCTCCCCAGTGCCCCTGAGGGCCCCTCCACCCTGCGCAGCCTCGGGGCCAGGCCGGGCTCACTTACTGGGATTTTTTATCTCGTTGCTGAGCGCCATCAAACGTTCCAGCTCTACAAGGAAGAAAGTCGGGTCCTTGGTTCGTGTGTACGTTGCATCAATTTTAGACATTTGCTAATATTCTCCTTCCCAGTCGCCAGGCTACTGAAATGCAGCTACAACTTGGGGACTTTACCAGCAGGATGTGACCAGACTCCAGACCCCAGAGGTGGTTTAATTTCTACCGTAATTTTTGGCTTCTATAAACAGTCCCACCCCCAGCCCCCAGCAAAAGCCCTTTTCCTAAGCAAACAAGTTTCAACACGAGTGCCCAGCCCCGAAAGTGCCCTAAACCCGGCAAGGCCGCCTGCGTGCTACACGCATTACCTGCTTCATCCAGGACGAAGCTGGAGGACACTCCATCCGTGTCGCTCACGGACACCGAGTAGGTCCCCACGTCCCCTTTCTCCGGGTTCTTAAAGTACAGCTTGGAGCTGGGGGGGGGAAGGGGCGCGAATGGTTAGGGCCCGTCCGCGTTTCTAAGGGGTCACACTGCCACCTGCCAAGCGCCACTTACTGGTCCCCGACTGTCTCGACCTGAAACTTCTCCGGGTCCGAAATCTCCTCGTAGGATTTGCACCACGTGAACTGGGAGGCGTCGGTCATCTCCGGGCAGTCGAAACTCAGGTAGATGTTGCCCTGCTCGTCGACGCCGGCGCTGACCTCCTTCGTGCCTGCGGGGCGAGGACCGAGGTGAGCGCGCGGGACTTAGGGACACACTGTCCCGTGGGCGCTTCTCTCGGGGAGGGTGGCCCTGGGCGAGCCGACCGCGCGTCGAATCGTCAGCTTTGTTCACCATCCGCCTGGGACATTGCGGAGGGAAGAGCCGACCGCTCCAGGGGACACACGGATCGGGGGGCTTTGGGTTTTGTTCCAAGTCATCGCATTTCTGCATTTTCGTTCATTTTCTTCTCGGCGTCCAGGACTCGTGGAGGGAACCCCTGGGGGCTGCCAGTCCAGCCATAAAGACCCTTGTCTCTCTGTGGTCACCCCTCACTCCCCTGGGGTCTCTCTGCGGTCACCCCTCACTCCCCTGGGGTCTCTCTGCGGTCACCCCTCACTCCCCTGGGGTCTCTCTGCGGTCACCCCTCACTCCCCTGGGGTCTCTCTGCGGTCACCCCTCACTCCCCTGGGGTCTCTCTGCGGTCACCCCTCACTCCCCTGGGGTCTCTCTGCGGTCACCCCTCACTCCCCTGGGGTCTCTCTGCGGTCACCCCTCACTCCCCTGGGGTCTCTCTGCGGTCACCCCTCACTCCCCTGGGGTCTCTCTGCGGTCACCCCTCACTCCCCTGGGGTCTCTCTGCGGTCACCCCTCACTCCCCTGGGGTCTCTCTGCGGTCACCCCTCACTCCCCTGGGGTCTCTCTGCGGTCACCCCTCACTCCCCTGGGGTCTCTCTGCGGTCACCCCTCACTCCCCTGGGGTCTCTCTGCGGTCACCCCTCACTCCCCTGGGGTGAGATAAAAGACCGCCAGCCCTCGTACACGCTGTTTTAGCCCCAATTAAAGGTCACGGGGACCTGCCCTGCCCTTGCCTGTCCCGGGGAGAGCCCTGGGCCATGAGAACTGGCTCCACCTCACTGCCCGTCTCACTGCTTCAAAAACACGGCAGGACACCGCTCGTCCACCCAGCATGTGCCCGTCCACACTCGCGTCCAACCCTCGGGGTCCCCCCCCCCCACAGGGACGCCGTCCGGCCCCGGCTCACCCGGCCTGGCCTCCAGCAGCACCGGCTCCGACGCGTCCGACGGCAGCCCCACGCCGCTGGCGTTCACGGCCCGCACGCGGAAGACGTAGCTCTTACCCTGGTGCAGGTCACGCACCTGGAAGTGACGGGGAAACGTCACGCGGATAGACAGAGGACGAGTTTGTTACGTTCCGCGCTCTGTCAGGAACACGCCGCCTTTTTCTAAAAGGGAACAGTCCCCCAGCTGGAACCGCTGGGGGCGGTCGGCTAGAAAGCAGGACGGTTCCGGCCCAGCCTGGCCGCAGGAGCACGCGGTTTGCGACAATTGTTTTTAAGCCTCGCCTGAGGATGTGATTTTATTGATTTTAGAGAGAGAGGGAGGGAAAGAGAGACAGAGACAAAGACAGAGAGAGAGAGAGAGCGGGGAGAACACCGATCGGTTGCCTCCCTTACGTGCCCCACTGGGAGCCGAGCCCACAACCATTCGGTGCCCAGGACCACGCGCCGCCCAACTAAGCCACCTGGCAGGGCCACTGGGGACAGTTTGGATAATTTCTCTCTCTCTGTTCTTCGCCTATTTTAAAGCAGAATTAAAATCAGATCATCTAGTTTCTAACTTGGCGTTAGAATTACTTAACGTAATTCTATGCATGGGGCTAAATATCATTTTAAAGTGAATTTCACCTGTGCAAAACGTCCCCCCATTTGGACACATCAAAATTTGACGGATCTCGTTATATCTGTGTGGATAATCTGCATTGTAATCCACGTTGATAACCACAAATAAAACACACGTTTGCTAAATTCCTAAGGAATTGGTTTAGCTAGAATCTTGGAAGCCGATTTATTCATTCCAAAGAAGCTGACGTTGTTTCCTGTCATTGCCTGTTTCCCGGATGGTGGCCGCCGGTCACACCCAGTGGAGGTGCAGCCCCGAGCCCCACACGGGTCAGGCTTGCGCTCAGTGGGCGCATGTCACCTCTCTGTCTGAGTCCCACTCAGAGCTCCCCCCAAAGGAAAAGTCCCAGCTGGGCCCTGAGCCGGGGAGACGGCCTCGGAGCGGTTGTCACAGGACCCCGGCGACTGGTCAGTTCAGGGGCTAAAATAGAAACATTTTGAGAGAGGAAAGAGCAATTTTCCCAAAACAATTCTGCCAAATGTGGTAAAACCGTGTACTTATGTGTGCGTGTGTGTGTATGTGTGTGCGAGCATGCACATGTATGTGCGTGTTGTCAGGCAGACTTCATGGGATCCCAGGAACTCAGCTCAGCTCATTCAGTGTGGGGCCTGCGGTGGGAGCATAAATAACATCGACGCCCCCGCCCCGGGTGGAGGCCGGTCTGAGTCCCGCTCACCCAGCGCCGTCCTCGTGGCGAGACTTCGCTCTGGAAGGAAACCAAGGTCGTCGCCACGGTGCCCACAGCCGGGCGTTGAAGTTCCCCAGCTGGCCTATGGCAGGGGACAGCGAAGGGACCCCTCACCTTTAAGTAACGACTGGCCGTTGCCGCCTCGTTGACGGTGGTCCATTCTTCGGAGCCCTCTTCCTTACAGTCCACGAAGTACCCAGACACGGGGCTGCTGCCAGAATACACGGGGGCTTTCCACAGCAGGACCAGCGACGTGTCCCTGACCTCACAGAAGGTCAGGTCGTAGGTGGGACCTGAAACGGGGTCCGGTCAGTGCGTGTGCGTGCAGGGGCCACGCAGCGAGCTGTGGCGAGGTTGCTGTGTCCGAGCGGACGTCTCTGGCCACGGACAGCCCTGCGGCTCCCGGTCACGTGGGCAGTCCACCCTTTTCCAGAGGGGCCACTGAGCTCAGTGCCGGGAGCTGGGGGCAGAGTCTGGCTTAATGGTCCTGGGGTCCCACCGACCAGGCTTCAAGGTCCATGGGTGTCCTCAGGGTAACTCGCAAGTCCAGGTCGCCCACTCTGGGCCAGTGGGTACGTATCGTAGAGAGAAAGGTGCACAGCAAGGACAGGGCACTACCGTCCCCCACCCGCTGGGCAGGACGCCTGTCACCTGCCGCCTGCCTGCTACGCCTGGTGCTGCCACGTTACCCTCAGCTCTGCTTTCTGACAACACCCGATGCCACCCCCAGGGCACAGGCTGGCCCCGGGTCCAGAGGGCGGGGGCGCCCCACCTGAGCCTACCTCGCCCGCGTCTCTGCCTGTGGCTCGGCTACTGCTCATTAAGCCCTCAAACAGGCCCCAGGAGCTTTAGCAGCTTTTTCTTCCCCTGGCTTTTCTAAGGGGCAAAATCTAATTTCATTAAAACAAGTATCAAAAAACGGAAGAGACAGCCCCGGCTGGCGCGCTCGTTCCTTGGGAGCATCGCCCGTACGCTGACAGGTCGTGGGCTCGAGTCCTGGTCAAGGCACATGCCCAGGCCGCAGGTGAGGTCCCCCGACCAGGTCAGGGCGCGTGCAGGAGGCAGACGATGGACGTTCCCCTCCCACGTCAACCTCTCCCTCCCTGCCTCCCTTCCCCTCTCTAAAAACCAGTGAACATGCCCTCCAGTGAAGGTTTTCCAAAAAGGAGTAGATAAAAAAGCAGGATAGTCTGGCCACAATATTGGAAAAAAGTGAATTTTTTAGCTTTTTCAGCCTCCACTTAGGTTTTTGTTCATGTTTTGTTTCTTTCAAAATATGGGCCTATCACCCACTAGGTCCCTGCCGGGCTAAATGCCAAGGAACCAAGGCCCGCACTCGGGAATCTGTGAAAAGGGCTCTAAAACCTGGCGTCCCGAGTAAATGCAGATTAGCAACAATTACCTGTTTTAGAACAAGGGGCCCAAGGCGCCCATGTGGCCTGAGAGGAGGGCACAGCGGGAGCCCTGACATCACGCTCTGTCTTAGCCGGGGGCCCCCCACACGTCCCCTCTGGCATCTGGCCGCCTGTCTCTCTGTCCCTCCGGGAGAAGCAGCCTGGACCGGGAACCTCCAGGACGGCCCCAACTTTGGGAAGCCAGCCTCCCGGTGAGACAGGGGTCCCTTCAACGAGCTCTCTGGCCTCACACTTCAGAGCAAATCACTGTAGGCTTGTCACCTGCTATAGGCCTGTCACCTGCTATAGGCCTGTCACTTGCTAACCTGTCTGCACCCTGCCCAACCACAGCATGGACCAGCCTAACCTCAGCCATGCCCTGAGCCGGGCTCAGCAGACGGGCCCCCACACAGGAACGTGGCAGAACCCTGCTCACTGCCGAGACTGGTGGGGCTGCGCAGACACGGGGCTGGTGCCCGGGAAGCCACTTCCCAGGGTGTCCCCACGGCGCAAGGGGTGAGTGCACTAGGCCTGTGTCCAGGAGAAGCAGCCTCTTACCCGGCTCCGGCGCCGTCCAGGCCTCGCACTTGAAGAGCTCGCTAGGGTCCGAGGGCTGCCCGATGCCCACCAGGTTGGTGGCAGCGATTTTGAATTCGTATAATGAACCTTCAGTCAAGTCCTCCACCTGTTAGATGGCGACATGAATTAATACATGGAACAGAAGCCGCCTGACAGCCTGCTGATTTGTAGAATGACTACAAGGCTGAGAATTTTTAAGTCCATTTTTGTCTCTGGATTGAACTATCTGATGCCGCCGAGCTCTGGGTCACTGAACAAGGGCTGTGCCCACAACGGGATGTCACCCAGGCAAAGCTCAGCGAATCCCAAAAACCCACCGTCAGGATCCTCTCCTTGACGGGCGCGGCGTTGACCTCGTGCCAGTTCTTGTGCTGAGCCTCGCGCTTGTCCACAAAGTAGCCGAGGATGGCCGTGCCCCCGCTGAACCTGGGCACCTTCCAGCCGAGGGTCATGGAATGGCCATCGCAGTTCAGGAGCGTGATCCCGTACGGGTGGGACGGGACGGCTGGGGGAAAGCCACAGAGTTACAGAAACATCTGAAATTCTCTGGGACCGTTTATCGAAGTTCCTTAAACTAAAAACAGCTCAAAAGGCCACCGATGCTGCTCTATTTCAGCCTCTGTTTTGAAAAGAGAGATCCATGCCCTATATAAAATATATGTAGCATATATTTTAATGTGTGTACATGAGCCAGGAAGCACATGTGCTAATATTTCCCGGTTTTAATTTGCATGTTATTAGCATATGGCTAATTAGCATATGGCTCCCTGTCCCACCGGCACGTCCCTGACAAGGAGCCAGTGCAGAGTTTCCCACAGAATCGCACGTTCCCTGTGGGACTGTGTGCTCTGCTCTCCTCCTCCGCGACGTCACACGTGGCCGCACGAGCGTGTATCCACGCAGGTCACGCACCCTGCGCATAGGACACAGAGCCGGCAGCCGGCGTCACTCACTGAGGGCAGCCTGCACCTTGATGGGGTCCGACTCCTGCGAGTTCTCGCTGGTCCCCACGGCATTGACCGCTTTCACGCGGAAGATGTACTGCTCTCCGGTCGTCAGGCCGTGCACCACGAACCTGGGGAAACGGGGGGGCGCTGCTACCGGGTGTGGCCTTTCCCTCCGTCCTCAGGGAGAGATCATTTTGAATAGTCCCTAAAGCGTCTCGGGCAAGTGCACAGGAACTATCTCATCGACCTCAAACTCCCACATCCGTGCGTGGGGACAAGAAAACAGCCTCATCGTGTACAAACTCCCGGATTTGTGTCCACCCCGGAATAGGCTGCCCCTGTGCTCTGTGGTTCCTATTTCAGTTTTGCTTCTGTACTTTGCTCCCAGGCAGTGACCTGGGGCTCGGGAAGGCGGGGAGGGGGGCGCACCTGTTGTAGCCGATGGGCTTGTGGTTGCAGGGCTCCCAGACGTTGGATCCGGCCACGCAGCAGTCCACGTAGTAGCCCAGCAGGTCCTCTGCGTGCTTCGGCCTGTCCCACTCCACCACGACTGACGTCTTCGTGTCCCGAGATACAAGGACCCGGCCGGGAGCAGAAGGGGTGACTTTACAGGGAGACAACGTGGTCCATGGTCAGTGATGTCAGAGTTTCGGAAGATACACGGAGACCTGCAAGCCCCTCTGTCCACAGGGAATGGCAACCCAGGTTTGGGCCATTAGATCAAACTTGGACGAACAGGAGGGAACAGGGAAGCGAGGGTGGGTGAACCACCAGAGGGCCCAGGGGTGCTCCCTGTCCTCTCTGTCTGCCCAAGGCCCTGCCTGCCTGCAAACAGAAGGAGATGCGACCACAAAATCTCACCCATCCCTCCACCAGGACCACTGAAAGATCTTCAGTGACACATGCTTTGGCTAAGTGGGTGGTAACTATTTTGGAACGGAGAATTGCCGATTGTGAGGAAACGAGTCGCATTCCCGTCACCTTCATCAGACTCCGTGAGGAACTCAGATTCGAATCAGGACTTGACCATGGATTTTCTCATCTAGCATTTGACATTTCAGAGAGGGAACCTCAGCCATACAGGCAAAAAACTCTAGTGTATCTAGGGTTGGGATTTCTATTTAAAGTGACCGTTGCCTAAAAGTATTTCTAACCCATTTATCAGTTTCATAAGAAGATAAAACTAGAGAAATGTTGAGAACTGACCAGAGCATGGCAGAGGGATCTTCTCCTGCCAAATGAACTTTTAAGGCTCCTTGACTTTTAACTCCTATGCCACATCAACGTTTTTATCAACGAAATAATGGTTATCCAGTTTCATCGTCTTCAGGGGCCCATCCTAAATTCCAGCCACTCGCCGTAACTCACCAATGGCGTCCTGGGCCTGAATGGGGGGAGTGATTTCCGACGGGTCGCTCAGGCCGTGTTTGTTTGCAGACAGAACTCGGAACACGTACGGTTTCCCCTCAGCAAGATCAAAGACGGCGTACCGAGGGGACCTCACAGCCGTCTGGGCATTGACCCGCTGCCAGCTGCCGCTCCCGACCATGGACTGCAGAGAGAACAGGGCAGTAATGGAGCCGACACCCTCAGCAAGCTGGAGGAAATGGTCCATTTTAGCTCACCCAGTTATATTTGGGGACGTCCATCCTGTACTCCGCACACGGGGCCATCAATAAATCTTTTCCAAATTTTATGAAAAGGGAATTTGAGAAGAAGGTAAGAAATTATTTAAGGTTGAAAATGCTTACCAATAAAATTTTCACTTGAAAGGGAATAATTAAACCATAGAAAATGCAATAGAATCAATACATAGGTTGCAGTTTTAGTACAATGGAATGAACTGTAAACGGTTAAGGAATATAACTCAGCAGTTCACATTTGGTTTAAAACTGTTGCTATTTTGCAGCTACTTATAGTGGTAATAATGTGGCAGTGGTAATAATCTCCATAACTAGTGATAGGGTGGATACATTGTAATACAGTCATACATTTAAAATGTAGCTTTTTAAGTTATTGTATAAAGATCTTTAATAGGATGAGAAGAATTGTATCATTTTGTTCAATGTAATAAAGGATGCAAATTGTATCCATGATATATCAAATATGTAAAAACCTATGGAGGAGAAGACATAAATATATACCATTTGTTAACAGTAACTATTTTATATGATGGGATTGTGGGTGGTTTTAATTTTATTCTATATAATGTCTCTGTATTTTCCAAATGTTCTATACTGCATGTTTGATTTTTACCATTGATAATTACTTTTAAAGTTCCAATTATATGTTTCATTCTTTTCCTATAGAGAAAATCCCCTTTTCAAAAGGAATTCTGAGGCAGTCAAAGCTGGGTGCAAGTCAGCCTGCTAAAGGCTGCTAGATTCATGTTGGAAGAAGAGGTTTTCTCTCATTTTAGCAGAAGTAAAGTCACTTTCTTGGAGCTGACACAGGCATCCTTAGTAGGAGGCCTCCTTAGTAGAAAACACACCTGCCCAAGTGTGTTTTCTGGGGAGGGACAGCAGGGGCTGGAGGCAGGAGGTGGACACCTGGCTGGGTGACTAGAGGACAGGACCCTCTGTTAGAGGAGGGAGGACAGGGCATGAGTAGGAATAAACCCCAAGGGACTTAACTTACTGCCCAGCTCTCTCAGATGCCCAAGGAGAGCTGAGAACCTGACCATGTCCCTAGTGCTCATCACTCAAGCAGGGGCTGAGGGAAAGTGTGCAGGTCAGTACCTGCAGGGGTCTGCCCAGGGCACACCTCTGGGCCACATACAAGGCACTGCCCCCTTCGCCACCTGCAGAACGCTCAGTGGAAGCATCGGCCCGGACACTGAGCTCATGGTGTCCACATAGGAAGGACAGGCCCTGTGCTGATCCAGAGTCTGCCCAGAGCACAGGGCATCGGCTACAGTCTCTTGGATTTTCACAACACAAAACTGCACTTTATCACCCAAAATTCACAAGCTACCGCTCTCCTGTGGGACATGTGGTTACAGCCTCCAAGGAGCCTCGCCTCACAGGTAATTGGGGAATGTCAGAGGGTCCCCACCTGTCCACAGTCAGAAAGTGTTCCTCCTTTTGTACATGCTGGCCATGCTTCATCTACATGTGTCACGTGTCACCGCACTACATACGCACTCATGGCCCATGTTATTTCCCACGTGTGTTCTGTACATATGCATCATATATTACACGTAATATAACTCTGGTACCATAGAACCACAGTTACAGACTCACATGACTATAGAGGCTTTGCCAACTGCAGCCCAGAGCCCAACTGTGGTCACCGATCACCTGAGCAGGGACGACCTGAGCTTCTAGTGCAAAGGGACAGATCACAGTGAGACAGAATATGTGGCTTGTGGTAGGGATGTAAGTTTTGTTGGTTATGTATATGTGTGTGTGCATGTGTGTGTGTGCATGTGTGCATGTCTGTGTGTTTGTGTGTTTTGGTGCATGTGCATGTCTGTGTGTGTGTGTTCCTGCATGTCCAGGGCTGCAACACATCAGGTATCTCTTTATCTGTCCAGAACTAAGACTGTCCAACCCTTGGCAGCCTGAAGTGTGGATCCCTCTACGAGGTCACCACCCACTGGCCACATGGCTTATGAACAACCAGAGACCAGTGGCAAATGGTCTCCCTGCTTCTCAGAGTNCACATGCATGTATGTGCATGTTTGTGTGTGTGTGTTCCTGCATGTCCAGGGCTGCAACACATCAGGTATCTCTTTATCTGTCCAGAACTAAGACTGTCCAACCCTTGGCAGCCTGAAGTGTGGATCCCTCTACGAGGTCACCACCCACTGGCCACATGGCTTATGAACAACCAGAGACCAGTGGCAAATGGTCTCCCTGCTTCTCAGAGTCCTCAGGACTCAGAGCCCAGAGTGTTTTTAGTGGGAAGATTTAGTTCTGGCCTCCCTGCACGGCGGGGTCTCAGGCTGGTGACGGGATGGGACCGGCTCGCTCACATGGGTGGCGGCAGAGCCAGGGCCAGGACAGTTCCCAGAGGCCGATGTGAACTGGGTCAGCTGGCGCCTGTAGCTTCCTTCCTATAAATAAAGTGATGAGGACCCTGTGCTGGGGACCTGGTAGCTGCTCATCTCTAAGGCCCAGGGAGTGGCACAAAGTGACCACCACAAATCTCTCATCTCGGGGACCGAGAGCACGGTACCTTCTCGATGAAGTACGTCAGGGGCTCCTTGCCACGGGGAGAAGGGGGGTCCCAGCTGAGGACCACGTAGGTCCTGCTGATCTCTGAGGCGTGGACGTTGGTGGGCGGTCCTGGGATCTGCACATCGCCTGGGGGAGGAATAGACTTGGTGAGAGCTGGGTGAGGCCGGGCCCCCCTCAGCTCAGCTGTCCTCAGAGCCTGTCCTCAGAGCCCGTCCGCCAGGCAGATGGCCTCACGTCCACGTGGGGAAATTAGGTAAAGTAGACCACCCCGGCATTCCTGTTTCACTCATCCTCTAATTACAAGTCCANACCTGGGGGAGGAATAGACTTGGTGAGAGCTGGGTGAGGCCGGGACCCCCTCAGCTCAGCCGTCCTCAGAGCCCGTCCACCAGGCAGATGGCCTCACGTCCACGTGGGGAAATTAGGTAAAGTAGACCACCCCGGCATTCCTGTTTCACTCATCCTCTAATTACAAGTCCAATTAAAATCCTTGGCCTTCTGACTAATTATGCTCGATTCTCCTCCTAGTAAATCGATCTCTCTGCGTACCTGTGAAAGGAACATTAGGTACTCTAAAATCTGACAGAGACGTTATTTGACAGGTATGACTCGATCCATTTAAATATTAGGAATAAAACTTCTGCTTACATAAATACTAAGTACTGTCCCAGGNCAGAGACGTTATTTGACAGGTATGACTCGATCCATTTAGTTAAATATTAGGAATAAAACTTCTGCTTACATAAATACTAAGTACTGTCCCAGGAATGGACAGTGTGAGGACAGAACCCGGCATCAGCCAGTCATCCAGCCGCGGGCTCCGTTTGGCCACTTCTCTACCTGTCCCCAAAAGGACGCACCAGTGGACCCCAACTAAAAACAACAGTGTCCACAGCCTGACCACATCTTGTTTCTTAGTGTCACTCCCTCAGTCTTTCTTGCTTTTTTTTTTAACTTCTCTAGACTCTAAACTTGTAGAGTTGAACTACAGTTTTTATTTTTACCTGTACAAGTGTCCCTGTCGTGTGGGTGTTTTCCTCTCCCCGCCCCCTTCCTGCCCCTGATCACAACCCCAGACCCTGGGACGTAAGAGCGACTTACCTTCGAGGTCATCCTGGTAGATCACAATTTCTTTATCTCCCTCCAGGTGGACCGCTGTAGAGAGAAAGGTTGATGCTAAATTTGACATCCAAAGATTTCCTTAAAAATACACCATTTCCCTCATTGCGCATGAGGCACGAATCACCTTCACAATGACGACTACAACATATTCACTCCCTTGAAGTGATCAGAGCTGATAGCCTGGAAATGGTCCGAATGACACTTAGTGCTTCTCGGCTCTTTGAATTGGACTCGAGAGACCGTGCAGGGAAGGGAAATACAGGGCTCGCCTGAGACCTAATTACGGGCCCAGACCCATTAAGGAATCGGCTCTGTGTGAAATGAAAATTCCAAAACAGAGCGGCTTGGTTTCAACGCCTTCTAAGTCTCCTTGTGTGTTGAAATTATATCTTCAATGGACTAGGAAACGTCTAATTCTGCACCCAGTTCGCGGGGTTCCAGTGGAGAGCGTCAGGAAGGTGTATACACTGAGGGATAAATCCCGAATCTCAGCCTGGCTCCCCTGCTCCCCGAGAGGCATTCCTGGGAGACCACAAAACACTGTGGCCCCTGCCGGCACCTAAGCCTGTCCTCAGGCTCGGATACCGCTGGAGGGAATGGAGAAAGGACATCTCACAATACGTACGGCCCCAAGCTCCCCGGCCGTAGCTGGGCCAGGAGAGCCCAGCCACCCACCTTGTAACCTTTTAAGGTCCACAGGGTCAAGGGCAGCCACGGCGTCCGAGATGCGGGACGGCCGGCTGACGCCGGCATTGTTGATCGCTCTCACGCGGAACACGTAGGACCGTCCCTCAAACAGCCCGGTCACGGGGTATTTGCAGATTTTCACGGGGGAGTCATTGCACTGAACCCAGTTGTTGGTTCCCACCTCACACCTTCCAACAGAAGAGAGCAGAGAACGGTGACTGCATCCATCTGATGAATATACGTGGGTGTCCACATGCTTACACACATATAATACGTGTCGATTATAACAGGGAAGGGTCTCACATTGTTGAGATCGATGCCATCAAAATACTGGTTTACACAAGCAGCATAAATAAACTTTAAAAGACAGCTACTTAGAAAATATAATATATATTCCTGAGCCTCTAATTCATAGGCTAAGATCAATTCCTGACTCAAATACATTTAGGGAAAATCTCCTGCAAAAGTCGTTTCAGATCCATCCTCAGTAATTCTTTAATAACTCACGTCACAAAATCTCAGGTGCCCTCCTGCTACCCAGCCAGTCTGTTGCCGGGGCGGAGGGAGGGACCAGCCCTGGGCTCTGTGGCCCGAAGGTGGACCTGACCACTGGGCCAGAGCAGACTCCTCCTGGAGCTGACTCCCCACCCACTCCGGTAATGGTCAGACCCTTTCCAGCAGGCCTCTCTTGTGGAATTTGGAAGTCTTCTGAAAATATTAAGTCCTGCCCTGGCCAGTGTGTTTCAGTGGTTAGAGCATCGGCCCGCACACCAGAGGGTTGCAGGTTCGATTCCTGGTCAAGGGCATGTACCTGGGTTGCAGGTTCAATCCCATGTCCCAACAGGGGTGCATGCAGGGGGCAACCAATCGATGACTGTCTCTCGCTCTGATGTTCCTCTCTCTCTTCTTTTCCCCCCTCTCTAAATATCAATGGAAATATATCCTCAGGTGGGAATTAACAAAAAAATAAAAATGAAAATATTAAGTCCTGACCAGAAATCTGGAAATGATGAACCTTCCCTTTTCAAAGGCTGAGATATTCAATACCAACACTTCACGTCAAAATCCCAGGAGAAAATAGCAAGTTGAGAAAATCAACTTTTCCAAGAAATTCAGCGTCCCGGTTGCATTGTCATTTTTAAAAGAATCCGCTCTCTTTTCTCCTAATTATGCAGAATTTCTGATGAAAGTTTCTGACCCACACGTGCCCACCAACTGCAGCCGAGCTCTGTGTTTCTATCTCCTTAGAGGGGTTATCACGTGAGAAGGTGCGTGAAGTCAGTTCCGCCAGACGGCTAAGAAAATGACCAAATGTTGGGGGAAACAGAAAACAGCTCTTGTTTTTTGCTTTTTTAATTTAAGATAAAAACCCTGAATGTTCTGCAGGTCCGGCTCCAGCGTGTCAAAATATTACCCTGACGTGAACATTTTAGCTACACAAGTAGCTTTATTGGGGTGAAAAGAACTTAACAGGATGCCCCCCAAAAAATCTGACTGATATTGTTTCTCAAATAACCATCTTATTTCACTGTGTTTTATGCATATAAAACCTTAAATTCCTACCCGGAGCCATCCACTTATAACCCAAGAGCTTGGACCCTCTGGCCTCACTCCTAACTTCGCTCTCTTTGGCTGTAATTTCTGTCCACGGTCGGCAAGTCTGTCTGAGGCACCGTCTCTGCCTGCGCCCTTCCCGGGCCTGAGAACCTCGTCGAGGGTGGAACAGGAAGACACAAACCTCCGTTGGGTTTAATGATCTACATTTAAGTAAATGTCACACAGAAAAACTCCCATATTATGTCGATATTTTTTACTGGGAAACAAGAAGAAAAGCCTATTTAATAGAGAACTAGCACAGGCAGGGCCCTGGGCGTGAGCGAGCCTGTGTTCTGGCCGCACGTCTCCTGCCCCGTGTCTCGTCCCCCAGGGGAGGGACAGGGCTGACCTGACTCCACCCAGCCAGGCCATTCCCAGCCCGGGCTGAACCCTCAGCAGGACCACGGACTCGGCTCAGAGGGCGTTTGGAGAAGCAGGTGACACCCGGTGCTGAACAGGTCACAGGGCTCCAACGACAACACAGACACCCAGTGTCTGCACAGGAAGCTTCTACCAATTGTCAGGAACATTAAATAACCACACGGCAAGTATCCAGAGCCCATCAACAACGGCGTCACGAGCTTGAGTCTGGGAAAATATCCAAATACGTCGCCCGTAACAATATCCATCTCAGGAACGTTTCCGTCCTGTGAGAACACAACGGACACTCACCGATCGATGAAATAGCCAATGACGGCGCCTTCGGTGGTCGTGTTGGGCGGCTTCCAGGTGACAATGACGTAATCTCGGTTTGCATCGTGGCACTGCACGTCCATGGGCGCCCCGGGAGCCCCTGTGACCAGCGGGTCAGCATCTGGGGGTGAGGGGGTGAGAGATGACCCATGATGAGAGTCGCTGGGGCGGGGACAGTTATAGCCTATTGACAACTGCTTCAAATCAGGCTCCCAGCTGCCCAACTGGACTCCAGTCTAATCCTCACGCCAATGACTCGACGATTCTGGGCTGTGCTGGGTCAGTGACAAGCAGTGCAAACATCTCTGTGAGTTTAACTCCAAACCTCTCTCCTCTATAACATGCTCAACTCTATGAATTTTCATAATTGGATCCAAAACTGAAGTTCACTATCTCCCGATGCCACACTGTCACACGACGTCACAGTCTCAAAAATTCATGGAAGAAACAAAACTAATAATGGGGCCCTTTTAGCACCTGGGAAACAGGGCCTTCGATGCTTTTCTATTTCAAAGTCCTTAGAAAATGTGAAGATTTCAATTTTTTTTTTCCAGTGAGCAGCTGTTTGGGGCCACCCTCCCTCCGCTCAATCATTTCCCGCAGTGAGGGTTTGCTTTGAAGTTTTTTTAGGTTTTTTTTAAAATATGTTTTTATTGATTTTTAGAAAGAGAGGAAGGGAGAGGAATAGAGTGAGACAGAAACAGCAATGAGAGAGGAGCACTGACCAGCGGCCTCCCGCACGCGCCCTACTGGGGCCGAGCCCACAATCAGGCCTGTGCCCTGACCGGGAATCGAACTCGAAACCTCCTGGTTCCCGGTTGATGCTCAACCACTGAGCCACACTGCCCAGGTTGTTCCGAAGTTTAAACTACAGAGGCAGTGAGACCCACAGGGCGGCACACCGAGCTTTCCATGTCCTTGTCTAAAATTGTGTCTGCTCAGAACCTCGGCTTGGACACAGCTTCTTGCCCCAGTCTCCTCAGCACATTAGAAGCTGAGGATTTCTGGACATGGAGCCAAATATGTTCACTTGCACTCACAACCCTCAGAAAGTAATGAGAACAGGTAAACGCCCCCCCTCCCCGCCGCCTTCATTTCCCTGAGGCCTCCCCCTCTGGGCCCAGGTCCCCCATAACCGCACACAGCACAGGGCCCACCCACCTCTGACAAACAAGTAGGCGCTGTGGTCGCTGACGCCCCCTCTGGACACGATCCTCAGGGTGTAGAGACCTTCATCGTCTTTGTTCAGGTGGCTGAAGGACAGGGAGGCCTGACCCTCCCCGAAGAACATCTGTGTCCACTTGGACTCTTTCAGCAGCACATCTGGAAGGAAATGAAAACGGGTTCCAGGCACCGCCCGAGAGCGTGCACATGGACCCGTGTGCACGCCCACGCTGGCGCGGACGGTCCCCCCGGCTCCAGGGAGCCTGAGACCCGTTTACACAAAGAGCCCACAGGTGAGAGCAAGCGAGGCATCGACGGGAAAGCAGGGGCCGCAACATCGGCAAAGGTCCGTGCAGACAAGGAACGCGAGGCACGTCGAGTTTCGTTTCCCAGAGCAAACTGGGTTATGTCTGAAAACAGTGCCCAGCCCTCAGATGGCTGAGTGCCGTCCTGTGACCCTTTTTATCACACAGGGTCCCTCTTCACAGACCACAGAAATCTCTGATGACATTAATTCTGGGCCCTCCCTGTTAACCTCCCCATGTTCCCGGATAAAGTTCAAGGTCAACGGCAGGCTCCACGTTCTCTCTGTCTCTCCCCTGGCTCTGCCACCGGCAGCTGCCTCAGTGGAAAGAGGAAAACCAGATTAACACTAAAGTTTACAACTCAGCTTGCCCACATGCGGCCAAGCGCACAGCGAGGGGGGCAGGGCACCCCAGGCCCGGGGCTGCCCGGCACTCACCGTCCCGGTACCACTCCACCCGCGGCTGCACGCGCTTCAGGTCTGGCGTCACCAGCAGCGTGCACTTGAGAGTGACAGTCTCGCCTTCTCTTCTGAAGGTGACCCCGAATTTCTCCAGAAACTGGACATCAAAGTGGGTGTAGGGAACCACAGACGACAAGGGCACTGCAGAGCGAATGGGACAGTCACAAGGAAGGGCACAGGGTTTCAGGCTCAGGGGCCCACCTCGGGCATCACTGCACGCAGGCCCTTCCTCCCGGGGACACTGGAGAACCGGCTGTGGCGTGGTCACCAATAAATGTCACTTATCATTGCCGAGAAAATGAACCAGCTGGGTCCAGAGGCATCAACCCCACTGAATCTCAAAAGTATAATGTCGGGGAGGGTAGGTTTCAGAAGGAAATCTGCAGTAATATTTTAAAACAAAGAAATCTGTGGTTTACAAATACGTGCACGTGGTAAGATTTCAGAAACTGCTGCAAACTTCAAGAGGATGGTTTCCTCTCAGGAGGACGGCCTGGGGTGGGGGGGGTAGGAGGGAGCTCAGGGTGTCTTTCCCTCCACAGTCAGTTCAATTCTTCAAGATCGACTGGGCCCCCTGAACTGTACACTCAGCAATGGTTAATTTTGTGACATACCAATTTTACTTCACTTAAAAGGTAACTAAGGCCCAGCTGGGGTGGTTCAGTGGTTCAGTGTCACCCCCCCTGCACCAAGAGGTCAGGGTTCGATTCCTGGTCGGGGCACAGGCCCGGGCTGTGGCTCGATCCCCAGTAGGGGGCGTGCAGGAGGCAGCCGATCAATGATTCTCTCTCATCAATGTTTCTCTCTCTCTCTCCCTCTCCTTTCCTCTCTCTAAAAATCAATAAAAACGTATTTTTAAAACAACCAAAAACTCTTCCTTTAAAAATAAATAAATAAGTAAATAAATAAATAATAAAATGGTAACAGGCAAAATGGCAACATAGTTGCACTTGTTAGGTATGGGTGGTGAATACATGGGCATCTGTTATTTGTGATGTTGTAGATCCTTTGAAATGTTTATTTGGAAAGATAAAATTTTAACAAGCCCCAGGTGACTGCTGAGACCCGTTCCTGCTTCACCATGGGGACCATCCTCCGCACGACGCTCATCATCCTCGGGACACACCCTCGGTCTCCCTGCCCCCCCGTGTTGCCTTGAACTAGTCCCACCGGCCTGCTGGTGGTCCTGAGCGCCCCCAAGTGCTGGAGAGAAGCCCCTCCAATGAAATCCACACAGAAAGGACCAGAGTAAACTACGCCGGGTGTCCTGTGGCTGCTGGAAAGCTGTCCCCACACCGCTGCAGCCGGTGCCTCGCGCTCCAACGCTTGGTTTGTAACACTGAGACCTCAACGCGGGCTAGAATCCAGGTTGCTACTGGGAGGTCAGCCAACCCTAACTGTCACCCCCAACCCTAAACAAGCCTCAGCGACGGCAAGGGCTCCGAGCCTTTCGCTTCCATCAGGCCAGCTCCTGGGCCTTGGGCCAAAAACCAGCCCCAGGACTGAGAGACGCTGTACTTGCCTCCCACAGGGCGACCGTGGTCACCTGGGAAACTGGGGTGCACACGGCAACACGGGGCACTTCCGCCTGTGGAGGGGCTGGTGGAGGGAAAGGGAGCCATGGGGCCGTGAGTGACCAGCCAGAAGGCGGGGGTGCAGGCAGGTCCGTGTGTCGGGACACGGCCTGTGACGCCCAGGCCAGCCGGGCATCTGCTTCGTGTCCGTGCAGCTGCTCCTTACAAATGGGCACAAGACTTTGGGGAAATAGGAAAACTATCCTCAAACACAGAACTCGGCCACAGTCTGCATTCCCATCGAGGATTTGGATCCACGTTTTTTCTAATTCAAAATGTCAGGTTTCATCAGCACCTAAAAATACGGCATCACACAGAATTACATCAGCGCACACTGGCCAGCGGAAGACACGGGCCCAGAAACCTGGAGAGCCTCTCAGACTTAAAAAAAGATCTGACCTTTAGAAAATAATTTTGTAATTACATGCTATGTCACTATATAATTTTCTGCCCCAAAAGGAAAAAAACTCGACTTACACCCAATCGGGAGTCCCACGGAGTGGAGTGGCTCCTCCTCGCCCCGGAACCCTGTAAGACAGCAGGGTGAGCGTGGCCGAGAGGGTCAGAGGGCGCCAAGGCGTCCCCCCCGCCCCCGTGGGCGCTAACTCACTTCTCACCACCACCGCCGCGTTGGTGGACACCTGCCCGTGTACGTTCGTGGCCACCGCGGAGTACGTGGCAGTGTCGTCAAAGTTTGCCCTTGGAGAGAAAAAACAAGACCAGGTCCTAAACCCACTGTTGGCTGTTCTGTGAAGCCAGTGGCCTGATTTCAACACAAAGTCCTCGAAAGCCTCCCATGTGACCTTGAGCCTCTGTTCATAAAGATGAGTCTCAGGACAAGGCTGGCTCTGTCCCGGGACCAGGTATTTACAGACCTGGGTGAAGCCTGGCCTTGACTATGACTTTATAATAAATAGTATGTATTTCAAATACATCTATCGAGTACCTGCACCTCACTCAGGTGACTTTGGTGAGTAAATAAAACAATGCATTTGAAAATGCTTTGTAACTTTAGCCCGGCCGGTGTGGCTCAGCGGCTGAGCGTTGACCTAGGACCCAGGAGATCGCGGTTTGAGTCCCGGTCAGGGCACAGGCCTGGGTTTCGGGCTCGATCCCCAGCAGGGGGTGTGCAGGAGGCAGCCGGTCAATGACTCTCTCATCACTGATGTTTCTCTCTCTCTCATTCCCTTCCACTCTCTGACATCATTAAAAGCATATTTTTTAAAAAGGGAAGAAAAAATAGAGAATGCTTCGTAACTTTAAGTGCTGTATGTAACCTCATATTATTCATTTAAACATGTCCACCAAATTCCTGGACTAAAAGTTCCTCCTCCGTGGCCTCCACATCCCAACAGCACAGCACAGGTTTCTCAGAGTTCTGAGAACTGGAATTAATTGCTTCCATGGCTCCCGAGCTGGGGACTGCCGGAGGGGACCCGAGAGGGGGACAGTGGAAGGTGCCGTGAGCGGCTCACAGGGAGCCCAGGAGGAGCAGAACTGTCTGCCCTGCCAATGCCCCGGGAACGCTCCTCCCAGAGGATTTCAACCTTGCTTTTCACTTGACTCACTAATTAAGATTCCGCATTAAGATCAGGGAGACGACCTAACACTTCAGCACTGGTGAGCTCACCAATTAGCACCTGGTGCTTAGCAGGAGGACCAGCTGGGGAGAAGGCCCATCCTGCACCTGCAGCGGGAGCCTCCGGTGGCCGCCAGTGTTTTCACGCCCCTGCCCACGAGAGCGGGTCCTCAGCTCCCATTGGGTCTGTAGACAAGGTCAGAGCCCCCAAAACCTTAAGACCCACTAACTGACTGCAGGCGTCCCCGAGGCAGGTACACTGTGATGGAACAGCCAGACCCTCTGGTGACGCTCACTTTCGGCTCGCTGTCTGCATTTCTCCTTTGTAACTGCTGTGCATGATGTAAAATATTTCGGGATGGAGGTGGATGTGCAGATTATGAATAAATGTGCCTGCACATACCCTGGGGGGGCCCCACACACTGGGGTGGCCCCTGGGGTGGGAGAGTGGGTGGGGACGGGGGAAGGGCTGGGTGGACTTTGAGGACACTTTGCTCAACTAAGAACCTGCCCAGGGGACGATGTGGGGACGGGGGCTCTGGCCACACACCTCTCCGCGTCCCTGTGAGACCCATGCTCTCTCTCCCTCCCGAGGCCACACGAGCCTTTAGTTTCAGCTTCGAGAAACTGCAAGCAAGTGGTGACAGGCAAAGGGTCATGTTTCCTGTCTGGACATGTTCCCAGAACAGGCAGCGACAGTTCTTACAAACTTCCAGGGGGCACCTCGCACCCCAGAGCCTCCGCGTGCAATGCCCCAAACCAACTCCACAGGACAGAGGACTGACATTTCGACAACTGGAAAGGTGGGCAGACACATTTATGTGGCCCCAGACTTTCTCCTGGGCAGTCAGGCCCCATGTCCTCACATTGGACATTGGCACTGGATTTAAATTTTAACTCAAGTTGGAATTTGAATATCACTGTCTAAAAATAAAGTTCAGGAAGAGGGTGAGCCCGACAGTCCCTCTACAAGGGTGGGGCTGGGGTGGAGGGTGTTACATATAAAACACAGGAGACACTGTCCTCAGCAACTTCATCAAGATGTGAGAACAGTATTAAAATTCTTTGGAGAAACAGAGCTCAGACTGGGAGTCCCGAGAGTAAGTCTATGAGTTGCAGGGAAAGGCGCCTATTTCAGCGAGAATCTGAGGGGCCCCGGGGGCGGGTCCCACAAGGCTCTCAGCACTTCAAGAATTTGGTGACAGTGGCCAAAGAACATTCATAGGGACACATGTCACTCCTGTAACAGGGGGAGAGGCTCATTCCTGAGCTGCACACCCGCCCCCACCCGGAGCCGCTCAGATCCAATGACAGGGACTCAGCACATCAGAACCGACAGCTGAGGGCAGCCTGGGTGTGGGTGCCCGGCTCCTTTTCTGAAGGATTTTCACGTTTCATCTCAAACATCCCAATAGAGCCTAAACCATGCCGATGCAGATAAGAGCGCTGTTGAGAGAAGTTAGTCTCAGGAATCTCCTTTGCCCCAATTTCTGGAATGTTTGCAGACTGTGCAAAACCCCACTGCAGGTAGGGAGACCTGGGTCCGACCCTGCACCTACCGGGCCACCGGCTCATCACTATTCCAGAGGCCACACTGGCGTGAAGGCCACTCCTTCCATACTTGAGAAAGGGAAACAGCTTTTCCTATTAAAACAATTATTAAAATACAGCTTTGCCCGGCAAGAGTGGCACAGTTGGTTGAGCATCGGCCCTTGAACCAAGACGTAGCCGATTCGATTCCCGGTCAGGGCACGTGCCCGGGTTGTGGGCTCGATCCCCAGTAGGCGGAGTGCAGGAGGCAGCCAATCGATGACTCTCTCATCATTGATGTTTCTCTCTCTCCCTCTCCTTCCCTCTTTCTGAAATCAATATAGATATATTAAGAAAAAAGAGGGACAGGAGAACCTCACTTCTGTAAAATAAAAGTTGAAGTTTTGTGCGTTTATACATCTGTACTGTCAGGAAAAAGCAAACTGTATATACACCGGAGACTGACACTGGGTGTGAGAAATGGGGGTAATTTTTGTTTTCTTTTACTTAGTTCCTACATTTTTTCCATTTGTTATGAGAGAAAAAATTAAGGTTCTACTTCTTTGACGAGTCTGAGCTTAGGGACTGTTGCTCAACCTGGTACATGACGCAACCCGGCTGCTAACCAGCTGTGAGCATGACCTTCTCCACTTCACAGCAGCCCCTGCACCCGGGACACTGTCTTCCCTGAGATACGGATTCTCTTTGTTCCCAGACGGAGCTGAGATGAGCTAGTGAATTTGCATCCCTCTGGCCTGACCACAAAGATGGAGACGGGAAGCTGGTGCCACTTAAACTAATTCAGACAGACCAGTAACATTACCTGGGATGCACGCCGACAGGGTGCGGCCCGACCTCGCGTCTGAATTGGATCTCAGGTTTGGGGCATCAACTGGCTGAGGCAGGTGCTGCCACCAGCCCTCACCTGTGGCTCTGCAGCATGAGCACGTGGCCCTCAGCTGTGGCTCTGCAGCATGAGCACGTGGCCCTCAGCTGTGGCTCTGCGGCATGAGCACGTGGCCCTCACCTGTGGCTCTGCGGCATGAGCACGTGGCCCTCACCTGTGGCTCTGCGGCATGAGCACGTGGCCCTCACCTGTGGCTCTGCGGCATGAGCACGTGGCCCTCACCTGTGGCTCTGCGGCATGAGCACGTGGCCCTCACCTGTGGCTCTGCGGCATGAGCACGTGGCCCTCACCTGTGGCTCTCAGCTGTGGCTCTGCAGCATGAGCACGTGGCCCTCACCTGTGGCTCTGCGGCATGAGCACGTAACGTGGCCCTCACCTATGGGTCTCCAGGGTGAGCACGTGGCCCTCACCTGTGGATCTCCAGCGTGTGGACGCCATACTTGCTCTCAATCCTGTACTTGCCAGGATCGGCCGCCTGGCTGATCAGGCTGCCGTCTTTGTACCTGAGTGAGGAGACACTCGTGTTAGTGAAGGGCAGCTTGGGTTGTGCCCCAGCCTTCCTTACCTATCGCCCTGCCTCCTCACGCATCACTCAGTGTCACAGGCAGTGGGCAAGGGAGGCGGCTGGGGGGACACCCAGAGCCACACCTGTCTGCCTGTGTGAGGACAGAGGAGCGCTTGCTGGATTCTGACTATTGGGCGCTGCTGCTTGACCTCGGAGAGGGTGCAGCAAAGGTCTCCAAGGACTCTGCTGGGAATTCAGGATCTATCCGTCCCATAAGGAAATAAATGGAACCAATGTAGGCCGGGTCCCCGACCAGCCTCCCCGGGCCTCGGCACAGCGGGGATGTGCAGGGAGAGCTCTGTGGGTCCAACCACCCAGGTCCTGACCGGGGGAAACCGGCCTGCTTGTCCCACCCAGGACAGCAGACCCGTGTCCCCAGGACTAAGAGCGGCCTGGAAGCCCCACTCACCACTGCACCACGGGCGTGGGGAAGCCCTGCACGGTGAAACACAGCTTCACGGACATCCTCTCCCAGACCGTGTGGGACCTCAGCCGCACCAGGATCTCGGGGGCTCGCCTCATCCGCTCCTCGACTGTGTGCCTCTCCCAGGACATCTGGTCCTCCATCTGTGCCCAGAAAGCAAGGACGGTCAGAGCATGGCAGGAGGGACACACTGTGGGCAAGCGAGGCTCTCTGCCACGAAGCCACCAGAGCATTGTGGGGACGAACCCCAGCCCAGCCCCGGTCACCTCTCCAGGACACCCGCCTACCATCTGCTGGAGGGTGTATTTGTCCAGCTTCTCCCGGGCCTGTGCTCGGGCCATGTGCACACTGTCCTCCAGCTCCGCCAGCTCGCTGAGGAAACGCTCACGCTTGGCCTCTCCATATGCGGCCACCAGGGACTGGTACCTGCGGAAACGAAGGAGGGACGTGACTGTGGACACACTCGGGACAGGGCCTGGTCACCGAGGCTGGAGGCCGGGCGAGCTGTCCCCAGGACTGTCTTGCTGGGAGCCAGGAAAACAGGAGAAAAGCTCTGTCCCTTTGTCTTTCTTCCATGGTGCCACTGGAAGGTATTAATACTGCGCGTGAAGGGCAGGGAGGAGGTTTATAAGTAAAACAAAGACTTAAAAATAAAACTCCAGCTTCCCTTAGACAGTTACAGTCGCCTGGAGGCCCGAGAGCTCATTCGCTTTGGACATTGGCTGCGAGTAGCCCCATGTGACAGCTGCACCATTCCTGGTGTGTGATGGGCAGGAATCCCCTACAGGGGGAGGATCCCAGTGACAAGCACAGGCCCTGGACAGGTCAGAGGATGAACTCCATAAAGACAGGACTCGTTGCTCCTCGTGTTCACCTGGCCTCGCACAGCAGCAGGTGCTCCAAGCGGACCACGTGGCCAAGAGCAAGTCATGGGCGCTCGCAGGACATGGTCTCCCGCTGATGGCAAGTCACGGGCCTCGCCGGACGCAGCAGTGAGGGCTGGGACCCTGGGCCTGGGCTCGTTTACGGTCAGTAACAGGACAGTTGACAGGCCGAGCCCCTGAGCTATGTTCTACATGGCAACCTGGAAAAGCCACGTGTGTTCTGGGAGGCCACCATTTCTAGTGACTCCCAGGCTGAATTAAAGCCTTTAGGATTAACATTGACAGACAGGACGTAAGTCTGTATTCTAGAAAAATAAAAAGGCTGAAGTAAATCCCTCAGATTCATCCATCTGTAGGGGCAGAGAAATGAGGCCCACAGTCCTTCTGGCCTGATTGCCATCTTTGTGAGCCCCCAAAATTACCCCCCACTCATCCTGTCCCAGCTGCCCCATCTGAGCTTCCTGTCCCCCTCACCACTCATCCCCAGGTCCCCATACAACTAGGACACCCGCTCACCAGGAAAATGTCCCTGCCCTTCCCTCCTGCCCTTCAAGGCCCATCTCTTCAGCCATGGAGCCCACGGAGCCACCCCCGGCCTGGCCGCAGACCTGAGACCAACACCAGAGGCAACGTGCGTGAGGCGTGGGACCCCGGGCCACAGGTTCTCTGTAAAATGGAAGGGAAACTTCACTCCAATAGTTTTCTTGTCCGAATTAATGGAGACGATGGTAGAGAAAAGCAACGGACTAGAAAACTGGACCTTATGGCTTTGACTTCACGTGTTGCCTGACTGTCATCCCAGGTCCCTGATACCCAAGGCCCTACCCTCCTGACCTGTCCCCAGAGGGATGGGCTGTAACCCCCGGTCCTTGGGCAGGATGCACTGTGACTGACCTCCCGTCACCCCTGGGTGCACTGCGACCCTGTCCTGGGCAGGATGTGCTATGACCCCACGACCCCTGCCCCCGGCAGGTGGTGCTGTGAGGCCGTGACCCCAGGCAGCCTGAGGGCGCACAGGCGCTTACCTTCTCTTGTTCTCATGCTCCCTCTCCTCCTGCTCGGAGCTCACCCTCTTGGCGCAGAGCCTGCAGACTGTCCCTGCCTGTGACAGCGATGTCTGGCTGGAAGCTGCCTGGGAAGACGACTTCTCAGTAAGCGACTGCTGGGAAGAGGCCTGGGATGAGGCCCGCCTTGGTAAACGTTGAGAAAATGAGGGGTGTTAGAAAACTAGGGGTACACATCATGACAGACGACACAATGTTCCTTCTATGCACCACAAACCACCCTGGAAACATGCACATCCGTGTACACAGTGCACACGTATGCAGGCTCATGTGTATGTGCACGCTTACCTATGTGCATGAAGTTACACAAATGTGTGCACACATGTGCATACTCACATGGGTCTATGCCTGTACCTATGCAAGTGTACATACATGCGTGCACAGGCACGCACCCCTGCGCACAGTGTGTGTAAACTTGCGTGCAGAGGCCTGCACACTGTGCATGCACACACATATGCATGTACACACACATATACATGTACACACACATATGCATGTACACACACATATACATGTACACACACATATGCATGTACACACATATGCACACGCTCAAACCTACATCCCTCTGCGCCCAGCGCCCGACTGCAGGAGCCCACGCTCAGAGGGACAGTCACACACTGAGCTCCTCCCCCACCTGCCCTTCCCCTCAGGGTCAGCCTGTGTCGTCCACAGCTCTGGCCCGACGCCAGGATTATATATATCCGAAGGGATCTGAAGCTCCCAGGGGCTGCTGGGCGGGGCTGTTGGGAGTGTTTGGCTTTGTTATGGGAATGGCAAGTAAACACAGGGACCTCAGGCGTTCCTAAATATAGGGTGCTGGTGACCTGTGCAAAACACCTAAGGCTGGAGCCCGCTGGGCCAGCAGCATCTTCATTCTCTGGCCCAACCTCCTAGTCAGCCCATGAAAGCGGCAGGTGTGCTGCCCACTGGGGTGTGAGCTGCGCCCCTGAGGACACTGGACTTAGAAACTCACAGGAGCTGTGACTTGACCTGAGCCTGTGACTCAGAGAATCAATTCACTTCTAGCTACATTTACTGTTAGCGCAGCAAAAATATTATTGACTCGGCTCCCACCAGTCTTACTTTGCCATCCCATAATTTCTCTGCCGCTGACATCTTTCCCATCACCCTCACTTTTTGGTGACTTTTTAGATTCCAGTTCTGGAAGATGCGTGAATAAGGGTTAGTCAAAGAGCACTTGCTAACGTGTGCCCCCTCCCCGATCTAACCTGGGGTCAGCGCCAGTCTACCAGGGTCTACCAGGATCTCTCAGGGTCTACCAGGATCTACTGGGGTCTACCAGGATCTACCGGAATCTATCAGGGTCTACCAGGATCTCTCAGGGTCTACCAGGATCTACCAGGATCTACTGGGGTCTACCAGGATCTATCAGAGTCTACCAGGATCTATTGGGATCTACCAGAGTCTAGCAGGATCTACCAGGATCCACCAGGATCTAGCAGAGTCTACCAGGATGTGGCGCAGCACTCCATACATAGTCTGCTGCCCAGCTGCTCAGCCACACTCCCCTCTGGCATTGAAGATGGGCATCAGGGAGTACTGCCATCCCTGACCCCCCCAAACACATCACCCCAGGTTTCAGGGGACTGGTTAAAGCTTCCTGCCCCTAAATGCTGGGCATCCATAATCGAAGGTCTGAGTCTAATTGGTGAACTCCAACTTACTTTTTTGCCGTATATTCATCCAGGAGGTACCTTGTTTGAATATTACGATACGACTGGTCAAAGTGTTTGTGTCTCTTTTGATAGAAGGGCATGGTGACGAGCGACATCTTGGGGTTCGCCTACAAATAAAGAGTAACACACAGCACTGAGGGCGTTTTCTAATGCAATCCTGCAGTGTCCACCTAACACTGCGCACTGTTGCAAAAGGGAAAATCAGCTCCAATTAGCAAAGCACAAGGGGCCCCGGTGAACGACAGATTGTATAAGTGTGAATATTCTCAGACTAGGACTTCAGGTGCCTATCGAGTTCCCCAGGACCCGATTCCTTTGTTTTTGCTTCCATAAAACTAGAAGATTGGACTATGCATTTCATTTCATTGTCAACTCAACAAATATTTATAGAATACCTGGTTTGTTCGGGCAATGAGAGCAACAAAGACAAAAATAATTAAAACACAGATTAGAGGAGTGAACACGCACTTAGAATACAAGAGCAGAGGGATACAAGGAGCTCTGGGAAGTGAGAAGGGGCAGACGTCAGTGGGGAGGGGAGTCAGCAGAGGGCTGCTGCAGCCGGTGGCAGCTGAGAAGAGCCCTGGCGGGTGAGCAGGCGAACAGGCGGAGGTGGGCGGGAAGAAGGCGACCCATGAGCAAACCAGGGGCAGGAGCTCAGGAGATTTGAGGAGGCGTGAGGAAGGATCCCTCTGGAAAGACTGACCACACACAGACTTGCGTGTCTGCCTCGGGAGCTAGGAGTCACCCCGGCTCGAGAGGGGGCTCGAAAAAGGAATCGGCCTCCAAGACGCTTTCCGGACACTCCCGCCACTTTGGGACAGTTTCCTCTCTGAGATGTCTCGACCGCACCTGCGCTAATGGAGGTCGGGTCCCATCACCACGGTGACTCGGGTCTCTGTTGACTTAACCTCCAATCTGCCCACATTTCTTGGCAAGAGGAAGGCCTCAAGTGCGGCCCAAGTTACAGGAGAAGATAAGCCGTCTTGACCAATCTGACCCGTGGCCGCCAGCACCCGGAAGAGGGTGGTCGCACACGCTGGGACCCGGGCTGCCCTGCGCGGGTGAAACGCTGGGCGAGGTCAGCACGGCTCAGAGCAATGGCTCACTCCCCTCACTGCAGTCACAGTGTCCGCTCCACACGTGACGGATGAAGCTCAGCTCGTGGCTATGGGCCCAGACGTCCCAACTCAGCCCATGAGGAGGGGCTCTCAGTGGCAATAGGGACCTAGAGCTGGAATTGGGGTCCGTGGTCACAGACTTCGTAGCCGTCTCCCCAGGACACTCTCCTGCACTCACCTGCCATCCTCTGCTCACTGAGGAAACATTATGTTGAGGATCACCCAGATCAGGGGTGATCGCAGCTCCGAGGGTCAAGGACTCACCTCCACCCATTGGTCATTCCACAAATATTCAGAGCATGTTCTGTGTGCCAGCCCAGTGTGGACCACAGAGCCCCAGTGCCCTGAGGAGGGGGCATCTCAGAGAGTCCTTGCCCCAGGACAGGAGTGGGCTCAGAGCTCTGCGCCTCTGTCCCAGTGCCGATGCATCCTCAGTGCCTGCACTCACTCTGATCAATCTCATGCCCAAGTCAGACACACAGCAGGACCAGCAACTTGAGCCCACCCCCAGGCCACTTATCTGTGCTCAGCCCCCTTCTCTCCACACCTCAAAGGCCCTCGTGTGTCCAGATTGCCCAGTTGCCCTGACCACCCCAGTTGGGGTGACTAGCCCTCAGGAAAGTGTGCTCCATGGGGCTCAGCAGGTGCAGAGCAACAGCCCTGAAGCCACAAGGCCGTTAGGAGGGACCCCAGGGAGAATTGGACCCACACTCGCTGTGCTATGGACCAGTTACTCCAAAGAAAAGGGAGCAACAGGCCGAGCAGCAGCCAGAATCCCCTCCACATCTCCCAGGAGGGTCACCCTCTGACACGTGTCAAATGTCCTTCCCACATACACACCTCGAAACCATGGAAGCCGCCTTCCCTTACCCATAGTCTCTGGTGTGAGTGCCCCGGGGTGACAGGGCCTTGGGAGGCCTTGCTCCCAGCAGCAACCAGGGGGGCCCATCTGGCTCTCGGGCCTCAATTTGCTTTGCTGAGAAATGGGGGCTCCTGTTCCTTCAGCGGCAGCTATGTATGGATCTATGACCTGGATAACATATTGGAGGCAACACTCCATGGCGAGCACCGATCACCCTCAAATACCAGCAACGGGGCAGAGGCATCCTAAGCACACAGGTGTGGGGTTCTCAGCAAACAGCAGCCAAGTTTACACGACTCGACAGTGACCGGTCTCAGTCTGTCCGGGTTTGAATCTCGCCCTCACCTGGGAGGACTCTGGTGGTGGGAACCACCAGCCAGGCGCTGGTTTGCCTGGGACCCTGACCCTGCCTGCCCGCCACTCCCACTGGGGTTTGTGGCAGGGAAGCGAAACATGAGTCTGTCCGTCCTCACGTCCGGACAGTGTGTCTGTGCCTCCCTCAGGCCTAACCCTTCCTGTGAATATCTGAGAGCCGTTTCTCATGTCACTGAGAAGGGGTTTTTTGTGTGTATTTTTTTAATTCTCACCTGAGGATATTTTTTTCCATAGATTTTTAGAGAGAGTAGAAGGGAGGGAGGGAGGGAAGGAGGGAGAGAGAGAGAGAAACATCGATGTGAGAGGGACACCTCGATCGGTTGCCTCCTGCTTGGGCCCCGACAGAGGCCAGGAATCGAGCCTGCAACCCAGGTACTTGCCCTTCACCTGATTCGAACCCAAGACCTTTCAGTCCAAGGGCTGATGCGCTCACCACTGAGCCAAACTCGCCAGGGCCCGAGGAGGGTTTTAATGTCTGAAAACATTTCCACTGCAACACATTCACTTCCATCTAAAGAAAGAAACTCCCGTCTGTGCCACGGGAGGTCACCAAGTCAGCAACACACCAGGTCAAGCTGTTCTCGAGGAACAGGAGGGTCAAGCTGGCACCGGCAGGTGGCCTGTCCCCCAGGGGACCAGGCCCTCGGTCCCCAAGACAGGGTTCCTCAGAGCTCACTCACGGGAACTACCTGCCCCAAAGGTGTCTCCAAACTACTTAACTCCAAAAGTAAAGATCACGGAGCACAAAATAATTCTTTTAAAATCTTCACCCGAAGATGTACTTTCATTGATTTTTAGAAAGAGGGAGGGA